CATTCGAGCTCGGCGTCTTTGGCGGAGGCAGCACTGCCCCCAGAGGAGGGCAAAGGCCGTCCAATGCCGCCAAGGCACCACCGAGCAGACCCGACAATAGGTATACCTGCCTCATGGTCGATGTTGCACAAGCTGGGAGAGAGCAACAATGATGGTCCGAGTTGTAAGAAGCAGACACTGCTGGTCGCTTGGCAGTATATCGAAAACAGTTGTGCAGGCGGCCAGCATGGATTTATAACAAGGCATCAATCAACATGAATGAGCACACAACATTGACATGCAGAGTATTTGCATCGTGGGCGCCACCCGGAGTTCGGAGTTCAGCCAATGAAAAGCATCATCATTCGCTCGAACAAGGCAAAAGGGAAGGGCTTGCATGCGACCTTTCCCCAAGCGGCTGGTGTCACTCGTTACAGCGGCCGTAGACGTACAGCATGTCAGCATTCATGCCGTTACGTCTTGCGCGGGGATTTTTGTTCTTCCGTGTCGCACTGAAGCAAGTGAATGCAGAGGCTGAGAGGCAGAGCCAACCATCCATTCCGTGTCCGCCTCCGTGAAGGGACCGGTGACCATGGTGTTGAGCATTCGGCCGGCCGACCGAAGCCCCACTGCGGTTCGGGTCGACGAGGGGGGTGTGACTCTGCACCCTGTGCCGATGCGCGCGCGGGTCACCAGCTCCCAGGGGGCACAGAGAGTCCAGACCTGGAGTCGAGTCCCCCCGGGGCTGACGGCGTCGGATGCGTACCGAGCAATCATCGAAATATTAGTCGTACTTCTCCGCATTCTGCATTGTTTTACCTAAGAAAACGACCTTCTTTCATCTTCATATTTCGTCATCTTTGATCGTGAGTCTCTCCATTGAGGCCCAACCTAGCGGAGGACATGCCAAAGAATGTGCACGTGGGTTTCGCGGCCCAACGTGGTGCCCCGGCCCTCCCCCTCCAAGATTAACCAGATTTCAATAGCGCGACTTGTAGATGAGGAAACAGTCACGATGGCACCATATAGTACCTCTAAAAGGCACAATACAAAAGGGATTTGCACCTTCCAGGAGTCTCTTGCGAATTATGGTGGCGGTTTTACCCGAAAGTCAAAATCCTAGGAACAACAAACTATTCAATCTGAAGCGTCTTTGTCGTCAATGTCAGGAATACAGCATGAATCTAGTGTACCTTCGTAGTGCGTCGCATTTAAAGAGCATTCTGGAGGCCCATTGAGCAATACCATTGGCGCATTCGATATCGTACTTCGTATACCCAACACGTTGCAGCAAGGGCCATGGAATCCCAATCCCTACCCATGATCAAAAAGAAATGTGTTCGAGAAGAATCTTGACGATCCTTGGCATTTTTTATTGATCCAGTGTTCGGCTCCGCGCATCGTACGAATACGTAAAATTTCACGGAACAAGATTGAAAATCCAATCAAGCGGAACGCGACTGACACTGCTGCCGTAGCCATGTTATCTTGTTGGGTGCGGAAAATGACTCGTGCGAGTCGTGCTTCATGTGCGGGACTTTGGGTGCTTTTCAGCCCCTAGTGTAGTGCCAACGAGTGCCCACGAAGGACATGCAATTCTTTGCCCATGCTTGGTAAGAAGATTGCCATCTCTTGTCCCTTTTTGCCAACTAGTGCGCGGTACATGTCGTCGCCGCAGAGAACATGTGGCATTTAGTAGGGTAAGTGGAAACTCAAATGTGCGGATCACTGCACGTCAGCTCAGAGTAAGGTTGCTTACATGAGGGGACTACTGCATTCTCCAGGGGCCCTTGTCGTGCTTGGCACAACCTGCACGATCGAAATCGCATCTGGAAGCCTGCAGACCCAGTTGCAACCATGCAGCTGGGAAGACTTTATCTTTGCCCTATGCATGCATCAAGAAGATGGGTGACGTTGGACCATGTCGCCAGGGAAATCAGTGAAATCAAACTTGAGGGCGCGTACCTGGTTCTTGTCTTTGGTAGCTTCCCTTCGTGCGCGGATCCCTTCTTCATCCGCACCGTCGCGTCAGACTACCTCGGCAGAGAGGGAAGAGCGTTGCAAACTCCACACTGAACCAGTCCAGATACGGTAGAAAAAATGACGCCGGCAACTGACTGCCGCAAGATAGTTGCACAAACCACCACCACCTAGCCAACAAGTTATTCTCTAGTTCCATAATGTTCATTTGACAGAACAAAACAGGGAATGCAAGTCAAGCACAATTGTTCGCTGTTGCAGAAACGTCTGGGCCTCGAATCTTCCCCCTGCATCGGTATTTGGTCGGTTTACAGACAAACCCCGAAACCGTCATAGCCAACGGTCTTCCTGCTAGGCCAGCCACTGTTGTGCCGAACGGGTTCCTATCGTGGCGCAAAAAAAAACTGGTAGAAGCCGAAGGGGTCTGTGTTGTCCAACGATTGCCGTATGCGGGTTGGCGTTGAAGATGGTGGACGGGAGATATCTTATCAATACTATGGAACATCAATCTCTTCAGCTGACTACCAAGCACATAGCGGCGCCTAGTCGTCGTGTGGGCCCCGAGCTGAAGGTCGAATCAAGGCTCTGAAATGGAGATCTCCGCCACGATCCTGGGGACGTCCCAGTCCAATGGAATGCGACTTTGCCGAAGCTGGTGATCTCACCGAAAGCTTCCAAGACAGCGTTATCCACAGCGGGAATAATAAGTCGACCGAAATAGAGGCTTCTATGCTCCCTCAAGAACAAGGGTCGAACCATGACAGGTCCCTATAACTCCAGGCCTGATCCTTTTGGACTGGCGCGCCGTTCATATACAACCCCAACGATAGACTGCGCATCTTTTTTTGCTTTTGATGGAAAACATCCCACCTTCGAGAAGAATCACGAACAAGTCAAGCGGGAACGAGTCGATAAGCCAAGAAAGACGACACGCGCGAGCTACCCACCTTTCGAGCTCGGCCATGATCCGCGCCCGGTGAACCGACGTATTTGGGAATTAATTGGGAATGGAGACACCGAGTCCCAGCGGCGTCAGTTTCCGCAAGTTGGACTCTGCGAAATCGGAAATCCGTCTACTCGAGCTCCAGGCAGCAGAGAACATCGAGGAGCCACCAGTTTGCCGCATTGTCAATGTCCAACTCACGGATAAGACGGAATATGTGGCCATCTCATGTCTTTCTGCAGAGACTGAGCAGGAGCCTGTAATACTCAACAATAAAAGAATACTAGTCCCCGCCACACTCGGCCAAGTGTTGAGGCATGTACGGGCCGTGTTCCTCGACCCCGCCGCCAGGCCGGACCGATCGCGCTCGCCCGCCAACAGCAAGGAGAAGAAGGGACCGCCCAGCTGGCTCGTCCAGGCATTGAAACATGTCAAGTCCATCTTTCCGGAGTCCCCCAGAGGCCGCTTCGACGAGGCCGGCGAAGGGCCCTTGCTGGTCTGGCTCGAGCCCTTTTGCGTAGACAGGCGCAACCCTACAGAGACGGCCCAGCAACTGACGCACATGGCCATGGTGTACCGGTCCGCGCAGATCGTCGTCGGATGGCTCGGGCTCAAGACGGAGCTAACGGATGTGGCCCTCGACGTCCTGCAGCAGGTGGAGGCCGTCTTCCCGCCTCACTTCGGCGAGCCCGAGGACAAGCTCCACCACCCCGAAAACTACTCGCCGCAACACGAGTGGTTGCGCAAACTCGAACACCTCTGGGAGTTTGGTACCGACGGCGTGTATTACTCTGCGCTGCAGGACTTTTCCGCCCGGCCGCTTTTCCACCGCACCTGGCTCATTGACGAGATCGCCACGGCGCGGTACCCAGCATTTCTCATCGGCGACCGGATATGTTCGTGGAAGCAAGTACTTGTATTAAACCGCATGCTGGAAGAAATCAGCAACGAGTCAGCCGTCTTCCCGGCCGGCCTGCGCCCGGTCGCACAGTCGTGGCCGCTCGGCACTATTTACACCATGTTAAAACACTACGAGGAGAGGAAGCGAAAAGAGAACGAAGAAGATCATAGAAATAGCGCTCTCAAGCAGTACGAGAAGAGGAAACGTAATGAGCAGGCGGCCCAAGTCGCAGGAGCAGGTGCTCTGGCTTACAGCGAGATGAAAGAAAAGGCCAGAAAGGGATCAGTAGCCGCGTCAAGTTCCGACGCGGGATCATGAAGAGCTTACGTATGAATTTAATGCATGAATAACGAATTACTCAAAACAAATATTTGCACAGCTCGGACAAATAAGATTATGCTTGATGTAGGGACAGGTTGACTGCGGAAGATAAAGTCCGCCTTTGATGATGACCGTACGCAGCAATGCGGGCCACAAATAAGTCCACAAAATTGGAAATGGATGGAATTTCTCCTGCATCGATCTGCACCAGAGAGGTACTTTAGGGTGGAACGGGATAACTTGAAGGCAGTTTCTGTTGCCCGAGCCTCGGCGTGAGCGGATGATGCACCTCTGCTTTGTTGTCGAACTTCAATGACTTGCTAGGTGTTTATGCAAAGATGCTTTTCACGATGTTAGTTATGCATTACACTGCATTAGAGTAACAACGGTAGTTAGATCTTCCCACCTGCATTTTCATGTTTACGTGCAGCATTATGAAGTTAGTCCCTTGGGCCACATACAAAGACTTCGAGCAAAACATCATGCGAGCTATCATTGATGCATGACCATCTCTGAGTGTGACCAGCAAGATATTGATAAATCAATTAGTGCTATATAATTTTCAGATTCATGATTTAAGACTTCTACATCTCGGATCAACAATTACTTATTTGGGCCTTTAGCCTTCTCAGAAGAATGATATTAGTCCTTCACTACACCAAAATATTTAGGAACGAGAAAATGACAATAAAACGAACTTGAAGTATGGATCATCACATGAGAATATAGAGTGCTAGCACAACAATGGATTTTGCGAAGACCATCATAAAGATGCAGAATTGAAAAGTTCATGCTTGACAGCAAGATATAAAAAAACATCGTGTCTCCTATTTCATGGAACAGGTGCAAAGAACAGGCCAAAAAAGGGAAATTTAATAGCACCACTCCGTTTCGATCGGAGGTCCTCCGGGTTATGAGCCCGGCGCGCTTCCGCTGCGCCATGGTGCTTTGATAAAGAATAAGTGTGCAAAGCGATTTTAATAAGTAACATAGAAGAAAGTGGATCACGGATAAGTCGTAACATAGGGCTTGAAGCCTCGAACAGGGTGTTCGGGTCGTCAGTGACCATTGTATCGAAAGGTAACACAAGTGCATTTCAAAGAACGCTCGTGGCTAAGTTCTTATGCAGAAGTTGCGTTCTAGGTTTGGATCGCGGCATGCAGGAGTCAGCATAGAAAACGTATTGAATTGAAAATAATTATATACGCAACAATTCAATTGCAAATTGCTTCTCGTCTATTGAAATTGGATACAATGCAACATTTGTCAAGTATTAGTGATTGTAAATTCTACACTTCTCACCAATACACCTTGTCTAGTGTTAGGTAGCATATGGATAAAGCAGGTTCTCATACGTAATGTTCTGATACGTGAAGCTGATGGGAGAACTCTCGGGCGCGGTACCGTTCTCTACCCAATCGCGCAATTGCCCGAACAACGATGTAGGCTGCCCACCCGTTCCACCGAAGCAATGGGCAAGACCAGGGACCTCAAAGTGACGGTAGAAACTATGCACCTCATCTGTTGCCGAATCTACTTGCTCGTAGTAATATCTGCTGGCTTCAGGTGGGATGTCTTGATCAGACTGCATCTGGTGAGCGATCCGTGCGACAAAAGAGTGTCATGAGATAAGCTTGTAGACTTACTAGACCGTGGAAGCTAATTAACTTGCCACCCGCGTGTGAGAAAGCCGTCAAATCCGGGTTTGATGTCTCGATGATTGAGTCGTATTCTCTCTTGCTAGCATTGAACATGCCGAGGAATTCGTCGAGCTGCAAAATTGCCAGGTCAAACTCGGGGTCTTTGGCTACAAAAAGCTGCAGCCAGTTCGCGGGGATCCCATAGGACTCTGAAACATCAATAGAGCATTGAGTATCGTTGCAGATGGTACTAGCGGTTCCAGAGGTAATGTCGGTGGCAACTCCAAAGCCCGGCCACAGGATGTTCCCGTGCAGATCATGAATGCCATGCCAGGTTGCGTTGGCTACCATGGCAGCTCCCTTGCTTATCTGCACAGAGCTATTGGTCTGCGCACAGTCTTGTACTGTCGTACCGATCATAGAGAAAATATTGAAATGTTCAAGGCACACGTCCGAATCTGCGACAATGCCGTCCAGGACTCCGTCAAGCGGGTCACAGTAGGCGACGGCAGCAGCCGTAATCGCCTCGAATTCGCATCCGTATGGATACTGGTCGATCATTGTCATGTACAACTGTGACCAGTACATATTGAACATGGTCTCTGTCCAGTAAACGGCTGGTGCGCCGGCTACGATGCCGTCGAAAGCATCTGGATACCGCTGGGCCAACATCATGCCTTGCCGGCCACCTTGGGAGCAGCCATTCCAGTATGAATAGAGCGGAGGCGCTCCGGAGTAGGCCTGCACCACTTGCTTTGCCAAAATAGCCTACGGGATTGTCAACACTGCTCTGCGAAAACATCATCCTCGTGAATTTTTACCATGTCATTGAGAGACACCGACGCCAAATTCTGAAGCTTTGGGATATCAACATGCTCGGGACTGAGCAGCGCCCAAGAGTCTGCACTGGTTGCTGTCCCAAGCCCTGCATCAGTAGTGACTGTCGCATAGCCTTCTGCGATGTTTGCTAGCATCTGCCATTGTTGCAGAAGACCTCTGCCTGCAACAAAGCCGGCTCCTCCGACAGCAATGAGCCGCTCGTTAAAATCTTGGACCGGAAGCAATGTCTCGATGATAATGGTGTCGTTCTCTTCGGAATGAGAGTAGGCGATGGTGACATTGCAATAATCAAAGTAACTCGTCGGAATTTCAGGCTGATCAAATCGGAGAGCCTGATCGAATTGAAAGGTTGCATTCTGGACGACGTTGGTCAGGACTGACGTGATGTGAGAACCAGTCAGTGATAGGCCACTGAAAGTCTCAGGAATACAGTTCCGAACAAGGCCTGACATTGCGTGCAAGATTACGAGATTGTGAAATGTAGATGGTGAACTGTAGAGAAGATGGCGAGAGAAAATTCGAATTGACACGGAACTATCTGCACACATATATACGCGTTCGCTGTTGCATCCCATGCCCGTGCCTCATGACATCTTAGAAGGTATTGGCCCAAAAGTTGACCTGTATCTGTCCAAATCCTTCTAAGCAATATGAACAAGCCCTCATTCATTCTGTTCTCCTCGCAGTTCAAGTCACGAAATATAGTCAATGGCGATCCTCCTGCACTAGGGACGTCTAGTATATAAACGAAAACCCTGCGATTGGCTGATTGCAGCACCCTCGCAGACGGATTCAGGCAACCAAATAACAATCAGTGGTCTCAGCTACGGCTGAGGCCAATCGGAAACTTTTCGTTCTTTCGCTATCCTTTTTCTCGTAATTCCTGATTGTTATTCGATTTCTTATTTTCAAACATCTTTCATTTCCGTATCATTGGACCAGAATATCGTCGGTCCGTGTGATATGGTCTTGATGCGAGCCAAAAGACGAGACTTTACAGGAGGCCGTTATTGCTTGCACGCGTTATAATGCCCCCTGCGTATAGTGCACCACTAGTGCCTAGAGCCCGACGCAGGCGGCATAACAAGTCTAGGGGAGGTTGCGAGGGATGTCGCCGTCGCAAAGTCAAGGTAAACATTTCTTGTCTTCCAATAAAAATGGAGTAAATATTGATATTATCACCAGTGCGACGAGATCAAGCCTATTTGTCAGTCTTGCGAAAGATTCCGTTTGCCTTGCAAATATCCGTCGGACTCGAATTCACTACCGGGAGCCACCGTGGATAATGCCAATGTGGGCGAGCAGCCCCGAAAATCTGGTCGCCCACGCAAGAGCTGGGCTACATCATCACCGTTACCTTCATTGTCGTCGCCGCAAGATGTACAAACCAGCCCCGAGACAGATTGCAACAATCGATCGCACCCGATGCAGCTCAACATAGATGAACTTGAGCTCTATCATAATTTCATCATGAACTCATCTCAATACTTTGGCTACCCCAAGCTTTGGCAAGAAAAGGTCCCACAAATGGCGTTCAAGGTTCCCTGCATTCTACATCTGGTGATTGCATTCGCAGCTCTGCACATGGCCATAATTAGACCCGAAGAGTCTCGCAAATTCGAAAGTATCGCCGATGCACATTACGCATTGGGAGTGCCAACAGTCACTCAGCTAATGAAAAATATCAACAAGGACAATGCCCCCATACTATTCATTGCCAGCAATCTCATCTGCATCTCCACCTTTGCCAGACGGCCAGCTCCCGGACATCTGCTCCTCGTCGCTGAAGGGTCTGAGGTCCCGTGGTTGAATCTGTTTCGCGGGGTGCGCTTTGTTATCGAGACTATGGGAGCTGAAGCCATATTCGTGCCTCTGGGTAGTATGGGAGCTTGTTTCCAGGCTGGCGATTATTCGCACCTCAAATGCGATGCAAAGGTAGTATTGTGGAAAGCGCACTTTGCATCGCTATCAAGGCTTGTTTCTGAAGCTGAACCTTTTGAGAAAGAGACGTATCAATACGAACTTGAATCACTAATCAGTTGCTTCTCTGCCGCCTTTGGTACAGAGGAGACACCGAAGAAGATGGACGGCTCCCATTTCAAGTCCGTCACGAGTTGGCTTTATAATCTACATGATGACTATATCGTGCGCCTGCAGAAGAAACACCGAATCGCTCTCCTCCTACTTGCACAATTCACGGTGGCGCTTCGCAGCATAGAGAATGGACCATTTGGCAGAGGATGGAGCCGGCATATCTTGAGTGAGATCAAAGATCTTTTGCATTCCCAGGACATCTCATGGCTAATCTGGCCAATTTCCCAAGTCCAGGAATGGGATGACCTTAGGGGTGATGAACACCAGATCGTGTGATAGCGATGTGCGACATAACAAAAAGACACCTTGAAAAACCAAGCGGAATTTTGATATTTGAAAGCCGCAATGGCCGAAAGACGGCGCTGGAAATACAGATGCGAAATCATCAGTCATGATAACCATGAACCAGTATCCATTATACCAATTTACCACTGAAGGCGCCTTAAGAAGGACGTCAATTGCCATTAAACCCGTTTGAGCTTGAGAATGGTCTTTGGGCTCAACCACGACAAATCAGCGTGACGTCCAGACTCTGCGAGCCGCGCAATGCTGCGCGTCAAGTCCGATGTGCCAACCGAGCCCTCGGATTCCAGGTGTGCAATCTTCCAAGACCGGAGCAACACGAGACTCAGCGAGCCAGCCATGAAAGTGCAGCCGACAAATATCTGCGCGGGGAGGAAGGTGTTTTCTGCCGTCTTTTGGGAGCCGACAATCTGCATGGCCACGCCCTCGGCAAAAGTGGTCGGCAGCACCATCAGTACGCAGGTCACGGCAAAGATACGCGCAAGCTTGCTGACGCCGACGACTTCAGCCAGGATGGGCGTCACGGTCGCCCAAAAGATGCCGCAGATGCCGCCGGCAAGGAGCGCGAAAACGGACAGCAGGGCGAATCCCTTTGCGGGGATCCACAAGGTGAAGCAGAATACACCGCACAGCGCTGTCATGTACATGGCCATATTGATGCGACCAAGCCTGTCGCTGAAATACCCAATCAAGGGCCTTCCAAGAGCCAGTCCCAGATTGAGCATTGCGTTGGCGACGGACCCTTGCGTGGACGTGAGTCCAATGGAAGTGGCGTAACTGGGCAGCGAGTAAAGCAAGGTAATGTAGCCAAATTCGGTGACCAATCCCCAAAAGACGACGAGTAGGACCTCGACCCGCGTGAAATCGCGGATCCGGAACATGGGCCCCTGCCGATTGTGGTGGTGCACGCTATGCGGAACGTCCCGCATGGTGAAAGCCGCGCCAATGTTGGCGATTAGTGTGCACAATCCGAGGATGCGATATGTCCATTCTATTCCGACGCTCTGAATTGCGGCGTTGGTGGCCAGACTGTACACGACTCCGCCTCCGCCGGCACCCGCAGTAGACAGG